AGCTCCTGGTAGGTATATTCTTCTTAGCAGGTATTACTCTACCATATGACTGATCGTCCATTATGCTTTTACAAATGCAGCATCAAGTTTTGGATCAGGTTGCCCTTTTTTATATCTATCTGTACATTTACTTCGATCCTTTTCTTCCACATGAACCTTAGTCTTCTGTCCGGTGCGTTGTAAATTTTTCTTTTTCCTTTCTGGAGTATTTTGGTTACCTTTGTTCCGTTCACACTCCCTTTACATCTGGTCGAAGTGTTTTAATGAACCTTTTGAGATTTTAAAACCAATATATTCTGCTTTTTGTCACAAGGAATAAGCTGTACCATTATTCAAAGTGTGAATTATTGGTGATGCCCTCAAAAGTTCACATTCGTTGGTAAGGAAACACTTAGTGCTCTGTTAACAGATTCACCTTTTTGAGTGTTATGATTAAATTTCATTTTCATTAATGCTTCTTTGCTAAGTTTCATTTTTAAAAGTTCCTGCATTATTAACTTGTCTTTGTTATCCATATTCAGGTTGGTTAACTTGTTTGGACCCAAGTACATGGATCTATGAGCCACCAACAGTTTGAGTGTCCACCACCACACACCTATGAACTAGTGGGACATTTAGAGCAGTCACAAGTATAACAATGCACAGTAGCATTAAGCATTCAGGCAGATCCAGGATTTCCCTAGACATTTGTTAAACTGTAGGAGGTGCCGTCTTGACTGGTTTTAGCTACAAGTGAGAACTTCTCTGCATCTAGCCTTTTCCATTGTATATTAAATGAACTTAGCTGACTGTTTGAAGACTAAGTCTCATGATTTATACCCTTGTTATGGGGTATGCTTCTTTGCATATGTAATCATGGTAATTCTTATAAGATTTTTTTTTTCCTAAAGATTACTATAATGAATTTTTTTTATTTCTAAAACTAATTTGGGGACAAAAGAAACCTTTTTTGGGGACATGAATAATCATGAATAAACTTGAATGTTTGGACTTAGATTTTTTCTAATACATATAACATGAATAAGGATGAATAATGTTGAATGAAATTTGGACTTAAAATATTTCTCGATTGTGTGACAAACATGAATAAGCATGAATAAAGCTGCATGATAATGACTCGAAATTATGTGTGACCAACTGCATTAATAATACCGATGAAAAATGTAATTTGTTCTAGGATTTTGTTGTTTATTCAGACTTTTTTTTGGCTGAGGAAATATGTTCAATAATTAGATGAAAAAATCATGAATATATCAGGTGACATCAAGCCCTTATGTTTGATTTTTTCAATGACCCCACCCTAAAACTGCTGCTTTGAAAAATTGGATGCCCTTTATTAATGCCTCTCCCCCACCTGCTGCTCCTAAAAATGAGAGATGTACTCTTTCTGTGAAAAATTTGAATTATTATTTCAATGCCTTTGATAGATCAATTAATGGAAGTAAAGATGAAAAAAATTATTTTCAAAATATTTATATTTTAAGTGTTTTCAGGTTAAAAATAATTAAAAGTAATATTCTGATATGCATTTGCATTCAATTTGTCTTATATTTTTTTTTATTGGGAAAAAAAATAAATTTAAGGAATATATTGTGAAAAGGTGATAAAAAAGGGGAAGTAACTGAAACATTTTTGAAATACACAAATTATGTATGACATAAAGCAAAGGTTATTGGTGTTAATTAACAATGCGTTTGACACCAAAGCTGCCAGGTGAAGCCCTGCACTTAATGGGTCACTTAATTTGACAGTTTACACAGCTAGCTGAACTTCCTGTTCATGGAAGAATTACGAATTTCAGTTTGACAGTATTTCAAAGTCCGAAAAATGCCGAGATTTTCGCGATAAAAACGATAGGGCGCCCGAGAAACGCCAACGGCTGTTTTGCCAGACAAGCTGGATTTTTCTGATTTTCTACCTGTTGTCCGGCATTTAAATAACTTAGAAAAATTATCAGATCAATGATCAACATTGGTTTCTCAACACAGGCATTTGACAGGCACTTGTTTCAACTTATCATGTAAACAAGTCATGACCACGTGGTTTTTTGTCATTGTACTGAACAGTCCGACCCTAGAAAATACCGTCCTATATAATGCGGCCACTAGTTCATCCGCATGCACCCTGTGTCGATTAAATTAAAGTTGGTTTTTTTTTCTTATTTTTAAAAACTGGCCAGTATTAAATACTTTTATACGACACCCTTGATTTATTTTTATAATACCGTTACGGGGACGGATCAACTTCTGGCCGATATAATATAGGGCGAGATTGTCACCTCGACGTTAGCGCGTACTCAATAAAAACGTCATCAAAATGTGATTACGCTGTTACAGAATCAAAATAGAAGATCCCATGTGAAGATGTTTTCAGATAAGTGCATTAAAAATTTAATTTAACATGTGTATATAATGAGATTATAAGATATAATTTATTGAGGAGGAACTATGATTTTTTTATGTTTTTTTTTTAGCATATCAACACCAGAAAGTCTGAAAGCATAAACTGAAAATATATTTATTTTTAACAACATTGAATAATCTTGTTGTCACATAACAGGCATAACTGGTAGATATGTAAAAATTTAATTGAATTGTGTGAATGGTTATTTGGTGAAAATAATAAGTCACTAGTTTTTTATCTTCAGGGGATAAAAAAAGGGGAGGGTAATTAATTTGATTCCAAATGGCTTCCAATGTATACTGTATAAACATGCAATAATATTTCTATTGAATTTATTGCTTTAAAACGTCTAGAACAATTGATTCTTTGTGGATTTTTTTTTATACTTTTAGGGGATTAAATGATTAAATGGAGCTGCCAATTTTGAAAGTAAACGGATTGCATGCAGATTCCAGTTACCTTTACTCAGCAATACTAGTTGGAAGGACAGAGACAGCAAATTTAATTACAGAAAGGAGGAGAACTTCACATGTATCCTTTATATCTGACACACAATTTTTTTTAATATTATAATATTTGAAACTGAACAGCGAGCATCATTAAGCCATGGTGAACAATGCGTATCTAAATACAATTAAGACAATGAAATGCTTGAAGGTGTTAGTGAACATGGGGAGGAGGGGGTGGGGTGGGTACCATTTTAATGGGTAATTTAACAATATAAGCAGCCATTAAAAATGGCAAACAAGTTTGCTAGTAGTACTAGTATCTAATTTTGATGGAAGTTTAGGGATCTAACATTAAATACAAGTAATTTTTTTTTTAAATGGGAACTTGACAGCCATTGAAATAAGATATTAAACATGCATGGCCAATACAAATACCCATTACTTATTACAATACATCTTGCTGTAATAAATGAATTAGTCAATGTAATTCATACCGCAATGTTTATATATATGTGACAGATTTGATACAACAAGGGCAATCATCTACCTTATAATGAGGAATAATGATTTAAACTAATAAAAGAAAATATTTGCAAAAGAACAAATTTGTGCATTAAAAATAAATTTTACTCAAATTTTGTAATTCCTTATAGAATACACGCAAGACATTAAGTCATTTTATTGGTCCTGAACTAAGGACATTCTCAGGATATTCACAGCATTATCCCAGGATTATCCCATGGCCAACTTAATGCAAGCAAATCTGTAAATCCTGACATCAGGATAATTTCCTGAGACCAGGACCTGATGAATCCTATGCACAGGATTATCACAAGATTCTTTACTATGATATTTATGGTCTGGATGGTCTCTGGATATCCCTGGAATATCCTTGTTCTAATACCCGTCCCATGTTTACCCTATCTCAGGGTCGAATAAGGATTATCTCAAGATTGCCCTGGGATTTTTCCCAAGATTATCCTGCTGGGGATATCTTGTGATATCCTGACCCATTTTTGCAAGGGTCAGACACCGTCACCGTCACCAGGGACATCAAAGTGATTTTCTTAAAATGTCATTTAATATTTTAAATATTTTAAATCAAGAATGCAAAAATAGCAAAATATATTTAGAACTGCATTTTAAAGGTCAAATCCTGAATTCCTGCAAAAATAAAAGCCAGAGAAAGACCTTCTGCACCTCATATTTGTATTCATGGTATTCTAAATTTATTTCTACATTCAATATTCAAGAACATCTATTTCGCATTCATGGTTATTCTAGAATATTCAAGGATATTTCATATTCACAGTTATTCTAAAATATTCAAGGATATTTCACATTCATGGTTATTCTAGAATATTCAAGGATATTTCACATTCATGGTTGTTCTAAAATATTAAAGTTAAATTACTTCACATTCATGGTTATTCTAGAATATTCAACCATTCAATACTCATGGACATCCTTTTTCACATTCAATAATATTCTGTAGATAAATATTCATGTTAATTCTTGGTTATTCAGTTCATACAATATTCATGTATATTCAAGGTGCCATTTAGCATTCATGAATATTCATGAATATTCATGAATATTCATGCATTGTAACCTTGAATATTCATGAATATATTCCAGTTCATGAAAGCAGGGGACTGAGCTGTTACAAATTTTTTTAACCATTTGTTAACCTCGGAGTAGTTTCAGAGGAGAAGATTCTTGAAATAGTTTAAGACGAAGACAAACGACGACAGCCGACGGACGCCAAGTGATGGCATAAGTTCATATAGCCCTGCTCACATGGCCCTTTTGGCCAGGTGAGCTAAAAATATGACAAACATCAGCGCCGCCTGGTGTCTAAAAACTCTTCAACTGTTCAATTTTAACTTTCAAATTTTGTTTTGAAGAATATACTTTTACCTTGAAGAAAAGAAAATTACTCAGTTAAATGTTCAATTGAAAATTTCTTCTCAGTCCTAATGTTCAGAACATTTCGTATTAACGCAAAGAAGAAGATATATAAAACCCGGAAATATGTCCATCGACCTGTTGCTGTGTTCAAAATGTAAATAATATTTTTAAATGAGCTAAAATTAGTATGTCACTTCTTCACATGAGTCAGATATAAGAGAAATATTTAAAACTTACCCTTTAAAGCCATTGACATGACGTCTTCTTGGTTAAAAAGAATTATTTGTAGTTTGTCGATAGCAGTCTAAATTCCGAGAACAGGAAGCTTTGTAAAAACGAGACACTGAATGACGGGATTGGGACAAGTCGGATCAGGAAAACTCGGACCAGTTTTAAAGAAACTCGGCTTAGATTGAAAGATCTTACCAGTTTGAAACACTGATTGGGCCCATATAAGGGCGATTCTAAACAATTTCAAAGACACCTGGGAACAATGTGAAACACTGATTGTGCCCATTTAAGAACGCTTCTCAGTGGTTGATTCTAAGGAAAAAGGGGGCGTAGAGGACGTAAGACGCGGCCTCCCGTTTGATCGCCAAATAAATAATAAATAATTTTTCACGGTATACATAGATTTTTAGTATAAAAACGTCCAAACATTTTTTTTTATTCAATTGTCTTAAAAACTGGTCCGAGTTTTCTTAAAATGATTTTGACAAAATTTCGTTGTTTTATTCATGTTATTGGATACAACATTATTTCTATATAAACTTAAGAAACTAGTGGCTACAGGCGGACACAATTGGATACAACATTATTTCTATATAAACTTAAGAAACTAGTGGCTACAGGCGGACACAATTGGATACAACATTATTTCTATATAAACTTAAGAAACAGGGGGCTACAGGCGGACACAACTTGACACAATGTTATTTCTATATAAACTTAGGAAACAGGGGGCTACAGGCGGACACAATTGGATACAACATTATTTCTATATAAACTGAAGAAACTGATGGCTACAGGCTGACACAATTGAATACAACATTATTTCTATATAAACTTAAGAAACCTGTGGCTACAGGCGGACACAATTGGATACAGCATTATTTCTATATAAACTTAAGAAACTGGTGGCTACAGGCTGACACAATTGGATACAACATTATTTCTATATAAACTTAAGAAACTGGTAGCTACAGGTGGACACAATTGGATACAACATTATTTCTATATAAACTTAAGAAACTGGTGGCTACAGGCGGATACAACATTATTTGTATATAAACTTTAGAAACTGGTGGCTACAGGCGGACACAACTTGACACTGTGCTTTTTCTATATAAACTTAAGAAACAGGGGGCTACAGGCGGACACAATTGGAAACAACATTATTTCTATATAAATTTAAGAAACAAGGGGCTACAGGCGCACACAATTGGATACAATATTATTTCTATATAAACTTAAGAAACTGGTGGCTACAGGCGGAAACAATAGAATACAACATTATTTCTATATAAACTTAAGAAACAGGGGGCAACAGGCGAACACAATTGGATACAACATTATTTCTATATAAACTTAAGAAACAGGTGGCTACAGGCGCACATAATTGGAAACAACATTATTTCTATATAAACTTAAGAAACAGGTGGCTACAGGCGCACATAATTGGAAACAACATTATTTCTATATAAACTTAAGAAACTGGTGGCTACAGGCGGACGCAATTGGATACAACATTATTTCTATATAAACTTAAGAAACTGGTGGCTACAGACTGACACAATTGGATACAACTTTATTTCTATATAAACTTAAGAAACTGGTGGCTACAGATGGATAAAACATTATTTCTATATAAACTTAAGAAACTGGTGGCTACAGGCGGACATAATTGGATACAACATTATATCTATATAAACGTAAAACATTGGTGGCTACAGGCGGACACAATTGGATACAACATTATTTCTATATAAACTTAAGAAACAGGTGGTTACAGGCGCACACAATTGGAAACAACATTATTTCTATATAAACTTAAGAAACTGGTGGCTACAGGCGGACGCAATTGGATACAACATTATTTCTATATAAACTTAAGAAACTGGTGGCTACAGGCGGACACAATTGGATACAACATTATTTCTACGTAAACTTAAGAAACTGGTGGCTACAGGCGGACACAATTGGATACAACATTATTTCTACGTAAACTTAAGAAACTGGTGGCTACAGGCGGACACAACTTGACACAGTGCTATTTCTATATAAACTTAGGAAACAGGGGGCTACAGGCGGACACAATTGGATACAACATTATTTCTATATAAACTGAAGAAACTGATGGCTACAGGCTGAGACAATTGGATACAACATTATTTCAATTAAACTTGAGAAACAGATTTATGGGGCCGGGGGCCTAATGGAGCTACATAATGGTGAAATGCCACAGGCACTTGTCTCTGAAAAAAAAAGTCCTATATACCTTAATATAACACGAAAACGAAGTAAAAACTTCTTCAAATCTCAGATAAAACAATGTATAAATAATTTACAGTTCGTATGTATTTATTAAATAAATTATCCAAATTAACGGCGTTAAACAGATATAATTATCAAAATTTATAAATGGATCAATCGTGATATGTTTCGATTTCGTCAAAATAATTATATGTCGTTCATGTTACATGTGTTGAAATATTGGAGCAGACGATATTAATAAACAGAAGTTATAGGCAGTCACGTCATACAAATATTACGGAAATCAATCAAGTGTGATTTGTTCAAGAATATTTATGAATACATTTAATTAACATTGAGAAATGTGAAATAGATTATTTTTTTCAGGACGTTTAGACATGTCGACATTTACCAATGTATTAAGATCAAATAGCAAAAATTGACTAGTTCAGAGTTCAATTCATTTCTTGATAGATAAGTGACGACCATTTGGTTTTCGAGGGAGAGAGCAGGAGGTTTTTTACGGCCGGAATATTCATTCTCACCTGTCGCTAAGCCAGCTTATTTTTTTCGAAAGTTTATTCCTATTTTTGTACACAATTATGTCCTGCATTTTGTTTGTTGAGCAAAAAATTCATTTTCCTTCTGTTCCTACCGGGTCAGAATATTTAGTTCCAAAATCCTCCTTAAGAAAATCAAATGGGTGTCCCGTTATAGTAAAGAGAAAAGAAGATGTTTAAGTTTTGTTTCTTAATGTTACAAAGGTAAGCAAATAAAAACAAAAATGGTGACCGTCATAAATGCTGCTTGTGTATGCGTAAAATAAAAAAAGGTGTACTTTAGAGAAAATCTTGAAAGGAAAAATATACAGAAAGGCTCCCGGAGCCCGAAGCCGCACGAATAATTCTTAAAATTATGCATTTTTACTGTTTAGACATATCTTGATTCTAAGCTTGTGGGATCTGTCTTTGTGTTGGTGTGTCATGATACGGTGGGAGTGATTTTTTACAAGACATTACTCCTATTTTTTAAATCAAACATTGCAAAATCAATAAATTTGGACAACAATTGTATTCAATCGGATTTTGACACCTTTTTGAATTTAGAACATCTATTTGACGGTATAATAAGCTACATTTTGCTCAAATGTTCAATATCATATAAATTCGAATAGTTAAATGGCAATTATTATTTTAAAACAAAGGATGCTTTTGAAACCACATTCTAAAAAGCTACTCAAGTACATTAGTTTAAGCGACATTTTAACTTTCAACTTTTACATGTATTAGAAACTTGTTCTTGGTATTAGATCTTTCGATGCCAGTATAGCAGGATACACTTATCCTATCGACGGACTGGAGGTCAAGGATTCGTTTTAAATGTTTCAATCGATTGGTTTGTGTATTCTTAACGAATTCAGATAATGGGACACTACTATTGCCGTTAATTTTCCCCTCCATATACACTTTGTCTCAAACAAATTTGACAGAATAAAATAATCGATCTTTTTTTCCTTCTCGTATATAATTGATAAATCTGAATTGTGAAGGACAATTATCATATACCGGTCGACGCACAGCCTTCAACAATGAGCAAAACCAATACTCTATACTTGAATAGACATGCCATGAGTAAACAACCAGAAAAAAAAACCAGGAAAGCATTGCTTAAAGCAACAAAAATTTAACAGCGTTAATCATCTTGTGGTTTATATATCAGAGCTTTGTATCTTCTCTTGTTTTTGATCATTTGAAAATCTACTACAAAAAAATTAAATACAAAGAAACAACACTATGGTCAAATAAAAACCGACAGAAAAAGAAAAACAACAATATCAAAAAATTACATAGAAATTAAAGACTGAGCCACACGAACAAAACAAAACACAAGGCTGAACTCGGGTGTTCCGGAAGGGCAAACAGTTTCTGCTCTACATACGGCACTCATCTTGTTGCTCATGCAAGTATAAATCGTTGATAAATCTCATTCGATAATGTAAAGCTCTATGTATCAGTTATTGAAACAAAATCAGAGATATCTATAATGAACATGAGTCGATTCAATAACTTTAACATCGAAATCTATAGTTGAAATAAAATATTGTTTTCTGATAGCAGTAAGTCGTATTGGTGGCCAACATAAACTAAATGAAAAATTAATCCCGGCAAAAATGTTTCGATTCCATAGTATATAATCTTCAGTATAGTGACGCACAACCAAACGACAACTTAAAGGAAGGATACCTGTTAACTTAGATAATCATAGGTCTGTTCTATGTTCCTTTGGAATTTCAACCAAAGACGAAGAACTGGATCTTCCATCACTGTATTGGATACCTAAACTATATAAGTGTCCTTACAAACAACGGTATATTGCTGGGTCTTCCAAGTGCTCCACGAAACCTCTTTCTAAATTATTAACATCTATTTTATCAGCAATCAAAGCCGGGCTCCAAAGTTATTGTGAAACTGCCTATTCTAGAGGTGGCGTGAATCAGATGTGGATACTAAAAAATTCCAAAGATCTTTTAGAGTACATACAATCTAAGACTCTCTCATCTTGCAATAGTATTAAAACATTTGACTTTTCTACACTTTACACAAGTATTCCCCATTCCAAACTAAAAGACAAATTGAAAGAGTTGGTATTACTTTGTCTCATTAAAAAGAATGGCGAACGTAGATACAAGTATCTTGTCTTGGGGAGGGATAAATCCTACTTTGTAAAGAATCACTCTGATTCAAACAAAAAATTCTCTGAAACTGACATTATCAAGATGCTTGATTTCTTGATTGACAACATATTTGTTACGTTTGGAGGACGTGTTTTTCAACAGACTGTCGGAATTCCAATGGGAACCAATTGTGCCCCTCTTCTTGCCGACTTGTTTCTTTATTATTATGAGGCTGACTTCATACAGGAGCTTCTTAGGAAGAGAGATAAGAAGTTAGCAATATCCTTTAACTCTACGTTCCGCTATATAGATGATGTTCTCTCACTAAATAATACAAAATTTGATGACTATGTTGAACGAATCTATCCCATCGAACTAGAGATAAAGGATACTACAGATACAGTTAGGTCTGCCTCATATCTTGACTTACATCTAGAAATTGACAATGAGGGTCGGTTGAAAACAAAACTTTACGACAAAAGAGATGATTTCAGCTTCCCAATTGTGAACTTCCCATTTCTATGTAGCAACATTCAAGCAGCGCCTGCATACGGAGTATATATCTCCCAATTGATACGATATTCCCGGGCTTGTGTTTCCTATCATGATTTCCTTGATAGAGGATTGCTTCTCACAAGGAAGCTATTAAACCAAGAGTTCCAAATGGTGAAGTTGAAGTCATCCCTTCGTAAATTTTACGGACGCCATCACGAGTTGGTTGACCGTTATGGAATAACCGTTTCACAGATGATATCGGATATGTTCCTTATGTCGTAACTACAATACCCTTCCCTTTTCACGAATGTGACTTACCGAATTAGACTATTTACCGGATTTGTAATAACATAAGCAACACGACGGGTGCCACATGTGGAGCAGGATCTGCTTACCCTTCCGGAGCACCTGAGATCACCCCCAGTTTTTGGTGGGGTTCGTGTTGCTTAGTCTTTAGTTTTCTATGTTGTGTCATCTGTACTATTATTTGTCTGTTTGTCTTTTTATTTTTGGCCATGACGTTGTCAGTTTGTTTTCAATCTATGAGTTTGACTGTCCCTCTGGTATCTTTCGTCCCACTTTTAGTTGTTTTTTGCATTAAATTATCGTATATGATTGCACGTTACTGTTTTCGATGGTGAGATATAGCATTTTCTACAACCGTTTTTGATTAATGGAGAAATAAGTAAAAACCAACAGCAAAATGTTGATAAATGTGGCCTTTACATAATATTTGACATTTAAATTAGGCACATTGTTTGAAAAGAAACTTACAGAAGGATCGATATATACATGAAGATTTCAAGATTAGTCATTTTTTGGACCTCGATTGTTTGTATGTGTATGCAAGGAACGCAAGAAGTAGGCGATGTCAAAGTGGAAGGTCCAGGTTTTGTCAATGTGTACGACCATGTTTCTATCTTAAATTTCACACAGCAGGAACCGGTTTCGTCATAGACAATCATGTATACTAGTATTATGTAGATTGAAATTGATGTTAAACAGACACAACAACTTTCAATAAGGGGACAATTTTATCATTTGTCCGTAAACAATTAATTTCCTTTATTGGCAAACATATTTGTTTTGCAGTATTAAAAGGAATAACACATTTTTTCGAGTGGTTATTTAATCTAAGGCCGATTAACTCAAAAACTGCGTAAATTTGTGGATTAGCGGCAAAGGTCACACATCAATAACCTCTAGAACAAAAGTGTTTAATCCTAATAATTCTCACCAGAACATTAGATAGTTGTTCTTTCAATTTCAACTTTCTATGAATCTCAGAATTCCATTCACATGATTCATGTATATCGCTCATAAATGTACCACAGTGAAATCGACATGTGCTTACTTAGGCTACGAGAGTAGCTTCGGCAAGATAGTCTATCAAAGTGTAAACAAAAAGACAAAACGGGCCAGTCAAATTCAAGTATTTGTAGATATGCAAACCATACAAGAGTTTTATGCAATTAAATTCTATTATTCCGATTTTGCCTATATTTTTTGTATTTGTTGGTTTGATCAGCTCTTCAACGTTTGTATTAGGTTTGATTTTCAAATATTTCGAACTTGACGATCACTAAAGAGACATTTATTGTCAAAATGCGCATGTGGCGAGTTGATTTTGTATCGTTAATGTTATTCTTAGATTCAAATGAAAACGTTTAAAACAGGGATGCAAAAATCATCGTTTTTTTTTTTTTAATAAGTCTAGGCAAAGACATAGAGACTATTCATAAGGCCTTCTGATGATCTTTCATTTTACAAAATATTGTATAAGAAAAGTCATTTTAACTCGCACGCTACGCATAAAAATTTTACGTTACAGTTAAGGTTACTACCGTGAAAACTCTTAATCAATGCTTAATGACGACATTATATGTACTTTATGATATCTTCTGCGTTCGCTTACAGTGTGCAGTTTAGAATATGTTGGACGACTTATTGAATTTAATCTTTGTCACTTAAATATATGATATCTTTGAAGTTCAAATTTGGCTTTACAT